AGTCCAATCTTTAGGAAATTATTTATATAGAATGGGTTCTGGCCAAAAACGATACATAGGGGATGAAATGAACCAAATACTTTATTTATGTCTGATTTTCTGGTAGCTCTAGAGGTCACAACTATTATCCGAACACCACAAATTTTACACCACAATGGGAATCAGGCCAAAGAATAAGCATGACTGGTATGATGAAGATCGGTCAATATTTAGCGGGTCGAATGGACCCAGATTTTTGTGTGAAAAATTCAATTTTTTTTATTTTATTTAATATTAAAGGACATAGACCCGAGAAGTATATCCAAGAGGAGAGGTGGACCTTTCAATTTATACCAATTTTATTGTTGTATGTATTCAGATGTGGGAGTTATACGTGAATATTAAAAAGTGTATATCTATTATGATATTTTTTAGTTTTACTATTACCACACCAGAGGGCGGAAATATTGCGCTGATCGCTTTGAAATTTAATATGATGTTGAGATGATATTTAGGGGATGAAATAAACCGAAAACTTTATTTTGGTCAGATTTTCTGGTCGCTCTAGAGGCCATTATTATATGCAGAATATTACTGTAAAGACTTAGAACGGCTGTTTGGATGACGAATGGGTCAATATTCCTAGGATCAAATCAAGCAAAAACCTAAAGTGACCAAACTGTTATTTTTAACGGCGTAAATATTCACCTCGGGAAAACAAAATTTGGAAAATATGCCTGTATTAGAAAATGGAGCTATTGACATATAACCTGTCAAGAGGGTGCAAATATCGCGAAATATTGCCCATATAGATTTTCGTGGTGGTTGTGTAGGGTATCATATGGTCGGCCCCGTCCGACTATCCAGCTCCACTCACTGGTTTATAATTACAGAAAATAACATATAAATATAAATCTTCCATATTCAACTCGTCTGGTCTTTAGCTTATTTATGGACTCTCTGGTCCTCATCTGATTTATAGAAGGTTAATTAAAATACAACCTATAAAAGACCCCAAAAATACATCGTCTATAAGCACTAATTTCAGGTTTTGTAAACAGAACTCTCTTTAGATCGCCCATAAGACTCCCTTTAACTCTTCTATAAAGACACCCTTCACTTAATTATTAAGATTGCCTTTAGATCATCTATAAAGATTTTTTGGTTCTGCATGTCTATAAATACTCCCATCAGTCAGTCTAAGAGGAATTACGCAGAAAAAAACACGCTTAACATCGTATTAAAAAAACCAATTTAGTCCAAATTTAAAAACTCGTTCAGCTCGTCTGTAAATACTTCCTTGGATTATCCCTCAAAAACACCAAAAGCCATCAAAAACACTGCGCTCAGTTAAACTTTTAAAATTATCTCATTGTGATCGTGAATATTTCCATCTGATTATACCTGCTTTACAGATCTCCTGTGAAGATCCCTTTGGGAAGGCGGTAAAATCTCCCTTCGACCCGTTTATAAATCCTTTAAGATGTCAATAAATGTTTCGTCTCAAAAAAGGTCTGAAATCTATTCACCCTTTAAAAGAGCGCTATATATAAAATGGTCCAAGAAAGGATTTCCATCAACATGATTTTATTGCATCGCAAAATTCCTCAATAACATTTCAGAATGATCAAGGAGAGCTTAAAGAAACTTCTACGGTCTGTTTCATTTAGTATGCTTGTCGAATTTACTTATATTCACTTATTTTAATTTTTAATTCCCCAATTATCAAAATTCGAAATTCCGAAGCAAGTTGTAGCTTTATCTCTGATTGTTTCATCAGAAGTTGAACGAATTAAATATTTTAGAGCCTAAGGCTGTAGAGGAAAGCAAAATTTAAGAATGTCTTACTTACTTAAGATTGATCCCCAGTCAAAACACGATGATTTTCCTATTTTATTGGAACATATTTCTGATACACTCAATCTTACCTACTTCAAGTTTCATAGAATAATCAGTGGTCATATTTTATAGAACACGTTTCTTATTAAAGATTTAAGACGGCAATCCTCGGCTCCCTTCGAAAACCTTACCTTATAATATCACTCATACACAAATCAGAATCATAGCGTATAATTTATATTATCACTCATACGCATGAATATAAAACGATAGAATATTTAAAGCAAATCCACAATTATAACAAGAATTAAAATGTTATAAAAATAGGACGTGTTTCATATAAAAAAATATCAAATTAAAATCTGTCTTAAAAAATAATTACAAACCATATAACATCACTTATAAGCAACATAAAATGATATTACGGTCTTTTTAGCGTATAATTACGACAATCACTCATACGCATAAAACGACCATGTACAGATAAAATTGAATTATAAGGCGGTAGAATATTTAAACCGAATCTATAATAATAAAATTGAATAAAACCTGATACTTTAGAAAAAATCAAACCCAAATCCTTTAAAAAATTCTTATGAAACATATAATATCACTCATACGCCAAATAAAATGACGTTATGTCCATCACAGCGTATGATTATTATAATCACTCATAAGCATAAAGCAACCATAATTAGATACAAATTAAATTTTAAGAAGTGAAATTGACAAATTAAATTACGGTATAAAGAATAATACATATATTTTATATATTACATTTCCATTTTCCGTATCTCCATAAATATTCTGTCAATGGCTTAAAAATCATAATAAACCATATAACATCACTTATAAGCAACATAAACTGACATTAGGTCTTCGTAGCGTATTATTACGATAATCACTCATACGCATAAAATGACCATATATAAATAAACTTGAATTATAAGGCGGTAGAATATTTAACACGAATCTACAATAATAAAATTGAACAAAACCTTATTCTAAAAAAATCGAACCAAAATCCATACGCCAAATACAATGGCATTGTGTTCTTCATAAAGTATCATTAATATCATTACTCATACGCATAAAACAACTATAATAAGATACAAATTAAATTTCAAGCAATAAAAATAAAGCAATAGGTTTCCGTAGCGTATAATTACGATAATCACTCATACGCATAAAACGACCATGTATAGATAAGATTATAATTCATAAAATATTTAATCCGAATTGATAATAATACAATTGAAGAAAGTCTGATTTTTAAAAAAATCGAAACAAAATCCTTAAAAAATGCTTATGAAACATATAATAACACTCATACGCCAAATAAAATGGCGTTATGTCCATCATAGCGTATAATTGTTATCATCACTCATACGCATGAAACAAATGCAAATTAAATTTAAAGCAATGGTATCTCTAAACTTAAATATTGAAAATAAAATTACGATAAAAAGAATAATAAATATATTTTATATATTACATTTCCGCTTTCCTTATCTCTATAAATATTCTCTTAAATTCTAACTGTACAATCAGCACAATTTAATTGTGTCTTCATCTTTATCTTTGCATTTTTTTCAATTTTCCATTTTGTTTGTGTGGTTTTCTTATCGTGAGTACAAGTATGGGTTTTTTGCTCTCGTATTTCAATATTTATTTAAAGTTAATTATACTTTTTCAACTTCCGTTTGACATTTTGGTGTGGCATAAATTATCATAAAGTTTGTTATTTTCATCTGTCTGTTGCTAACGACATGGCAAGGACCTTTACTTTGGTAGGTCGGTAATATCAGAGCATTGAGAGTTACTGGGTATATACGTGTGTGTGAGTCCATTTATAATGACAAATTTTCTTGTTGTTGGTCTTTCTTCCGTAGAAAGTTTACATTGGTTCATCTTCTTCTTCTTGTTCCACCTCAACATCGTCTTCGACTACTACTCTTGCACTTTCATTACAACTTTCACACTTTTAATTAGCCATTTGATAGAGGAAACAAAATGCCAACTTTCATTACAAATGTTATCTTATGAATGGAAGTTTTTTTTTTTTTGTCTTTTGTGAAAGGAAAGAACAACGTTCTGCTTCTTCTTCTTTTGTGTTTGTTGTTTTGTTTGCCTTGCTTTTTTACATTTTTATGAGTACTTTATGAAATAATGTATAAAAGTTGTGTTGATGTTAGTATGGTGGTGTGTGTGTGTGTCAGTGTGGCTCTGTTCTACTTTCTTTCACCTTTTTAGCCAAGCCAGGCTGTTCTGCAACTGTTTAACATTTTCCACCTTACCGGTCGATGTTTAGTTTTCTTTGTAATTTTTCTTTTCATCGTTTTATTAGGCAATTAAGGCTTCGCTTTATTGCAGAAAATTGAGTGTTCAGCATTTAAACGAATATTATTTCATTACGATCTGAATTGGGTTTCGGCACGGGTGGCTGGCGTTGAAAGGCATAAACATTGACAATTAATTGTGCCAAGAAAATAAAGAAAAATAAAACAATGAGTGTTAAATATAAAAATATATCGCGCCACATTACAAAACAGAAACACAAAATTGGGGGTGGTGTTAAGAATACCAGAAGCCAACTATTTGTAGTGAGTTAAAATTCTCTTCACTTCGTTACTGCACTTCTCTTTTTTATAATCGATTTGAGAGCACACAAAAAATCGGACACAATACAATACAAAATTCCCAGGAAGTAAATTAGATTTGCTGAATATCTTTGTGTTGCATATTCTTTGGTGCGTTGGCTGTTCCAAGTTGATTCACAGGCACCACAGGGTAGCTGTCACTGTGGCTGACAAGGATGATTGTTATTAATGCAACCGCAACATTGTATAGTTGTCGTTTTTCTTCTGCTTCTTTGTCGTCTTCTTCTTCGTCAGTGGAGCTTCTCTATTTAATGTCTTGGACAATGCCAAACACCCACTGTGTTATAAAGTCAGTTGCACTCGAACTTAATTCTTTGCCCCGCTTCACTTTCTCTCTACCCCCGTGACAGGCTTTTGTTGTATTTCTTTCTCACTTCTTTATTTATTATTGGAGTTCAGCAGCAGCAGCAGCAAAATGCATTGGTGTCCCAGATCTCCCTGAAGCTGGATTAATGGTAATTGTAATACAGAATCCCTTTTAGCTGCGAACAAAAAAATTCGTTCCCAGATACTTGAACGATTCCTATGGTCTTCCGTTTCGTTTTGTTATTAGATTTCTTGCATCTGTTTCCGCTTTCACTTACTTAAAATTGTCACATTTATTATTGTGGCGGATGGCATTCCCTTATGAAACCTTTTTGTTCGTTTAATACGTTTATCCTTTGCTGGAATTGTGCTCAACTTAGTTGTGTCTCCCGTACTTCCTCGCCTTCCTCTTTTTTTACAAAATGCCTTTATTTTGTAACTACTTTGCTCTCTGCTGCTACTGTTGTTGATGCCGTAATTGCTGCCTCTGTAGTTGTCAAAGCTAATGTTCTGTCATTACATCGTTCATGCTTGGTTTGGCCTTTAGAAATGTTTGCGATGACTTTGTAACTGCTAGAGTTGCTCTTCATTTTGTATTTTATATTTATTGTTATTATTTTATAATTCCTGTTACGTTTTTGTGTGTGTGTTTGTTCGTCTTAAACTGTTATGGTTGTGGTAACTTTTTGTATCATTTGATATGTGTCACATGCACTCACGCACACACACATTTACATATGTTGGAGTGTGGGTTGGAGTATCTGGAAAAAGAAAAAAAAGAAATACAAAGGTATAAGTATTGGATATTAATTGTGGGGATTATAGCAGTAATTGAACTTCATTTAGAAAGTAGAGTGGATTTTTTTTGTAACAGAGGAATCCATTGCAATAGAATCGTATCTTTGAAAATGTCGTTTTATGAGATTATATTGTGCATGACTGTGAAAGGAATAACAAACTGGGACTTTAATGGAAAACTAACAATGTTTAAATTCATGTTCACTCAGAATATTGAATCGCTTTTGTGAAATGTTAAACTCAATATGTTCATTAATTTATCCTTAATCTTTGAGTTCGGCTGACCCAATTTTATTTTATACTTTCCATCATGAAGTGCGTCACATAATTCAGAAAAAAAGTTTTCCGCAAAATCAACAACAATTTTTTTAATATATGACCAAATTTCGATATAACCCTCATCCCGCATCTTTTTCGGATATGAAGCTTTAATTTAATTTTACTTTTTAATTTGGCATCCGGGGCCATTTCGGAGGTTTGAGTCGCTGTACATATCTACCCCCTTCATTTTCAATATTATGAAGATCTAAGCTATATTTACTCACCGAAGTGGCTTAAATTGTGTTCAAAACTTTGAACACAAGTTTCTGGAATCAGTTTTTTTTCGAGTAGTGGATGTTCTATTTCAATTTTTTGATTTTCAAGCGGCTGACAAATGGACGTACATTACATTGAAGACTTGTAACTTTGTATATAAGCACTTGAAGACTCAAAGTATTGGGAAAAAGGAATCCATTATTTCTATATGAACTATAGGACTTTATTTAACATGCATCGGAATGTCCAATTTGCACCAAATATGCACCGTTTTGATGTATAATTTCTTGCCATTTTAAAGGTAACTTCATAATGCCTCTCTCATAGAAATCAAAATCCTCCTCAAATTCAAGTATGGGGAATGCATTAAAACTTCCCAACCAAGCTCCCGATGTTTCTGGCCAGTCACTGGTGATGTGTGTGGCCTAGCGTTGTCATGGTGTCGTATTACCTTTCCTGTTGGCCAATTCTGGCCGTTTCTGGTCAACTGCTATCTTCAAACGGTCCAGTGTAGACAACAGAGATAAGAATTTAGTGTTCGGCCATATGGAAGCAACTCAAATAATAAATAATCCTCTTCAAGTCCCACCAATTGCATAACAGAACCTTCGTGGCCGTTAGTCCTAGTTTGGGCACCGTTTGAGGTGCTTGACCGATCTTTGATCACTATCGTTTTCGTACAGGATTATCGTATATGATCCATTTCTCATCTCCAGTCACCATTCCGTTTGGCCAAGGCTTCGCAGATGGAAATTCGATCCACCCTATTTTTTCTGTTAATTGGTGTGGCACCCAAACATCGAGCTTTTTAATCCAGCTTTGTGTAAATGTTCTAAAACTGTTTTATGGTAGATTTTTAGCTCCTGAGCGATGTTACGACTGCTAACATGCCGGTCAACTTCGATCATTTCTCCGATTTTATCGACATTTTCGACGACCGACCCAATGGATTTATTTTTCAAATCGATTGGATTATAAGGTTTTGAGTTATCGTGCCTGCTATGTGTAAAAACATTTCTGAAACATCTATACCATAACGTGGACTGAAATTGGCAATATTTTGTATGAGAATTACCTTCAAATGAAGACTTAAAATATAAAATTCGATCCACTTTGGTTTTAAAAACGTTCCCAAAACCTTACCGAAAACAAGTCAAAGCAGTGAGCGAAGCTGTGTAGTCGGACGGGGTCGACCATATGATACCCTACACAACTACAACCGAACTTTAATTCTATGCATATCTATATTCCGAGCCTGGTCGATACTTATGATATTTATCCCTCTTAATCAATTACAGTTAGACTTTCTTACTCTGTCATTTTTTCCGAGTCATGTTTTCCCGAAGTAAACATTTATTTCATACGATTCAATTTGGGTATGTAGTTGGCCAGATCCTTTCCCCGTGTAAAATTGCTGATGTTCGGCTTATAATAGTGGCCTCTAGAGCGAATAGGAAACCATACAAAAAAGTTGTTGGTCCATTCATTGTCTTAAATATCAACAGATCATTTCCAAAACTTGTAGGAGTCATCCTTGACCATAACCGAATAGCTCAAGCAAAATTTCAAAGCGATCTGCGCGACATTTTCGCCTTCTAGTGTGGTAACGGTAATACTAAACAAAGCAAAATGCGTAGACACCTGTAATTATCTTATAATAACTCCCACATCCGGTTACTACAACAATATATTTGGTATCCTATATGCTATACAATAGAAATTTTTTACTTTTCACACAATTTATCCCGATAATTTTTGAAGGACCTTCACCAAAACTGTCATGCTTGTTCCGTGGTCAGTCATCTTTCTCTATGTAAAATTTCGTTATGTTCGGGTCATTATTGTGGTCTCCAGAGCGACCCGAAAAACAGACAAAAATTAAGTTTTTGGTCCATTTCATCCCCTTAAATATTAACGGGTCATTACCAAAGAATTCAATGAACAGTATTAATAAAAAATATGATATTTATGCAAATTAAATTACGGAATACCAAATAATGAAGTCAATTGGAGATGAATATTTCCTTTAAAATTAAATTTAATATTTTTCAACTCCTCACCATTAACAACATATCAATGTGCGGTTTATATTAATTTACTTAAACTTTTTGTACGCTGATAATCGCTCTCAGTCTACATTGAAAATTACTTAACGATCAAAAGGTAAAATAAAAAAATTTTCACAAACTCTTTCTTTGTAATTCTTCAAAACTCCAGTTGTATGCCGAAACACTTCCTCCTTATTCTTCACGTACACACACACACCCGCACACACAAACATAATGAATGCAACAGCGGCAGCATAAAGTTTGAATTAAATAAACGAATTGCATTCACAGCTCACAATATATATTTTAATAATCCACAACGAAACATCAACCGCACACAAAAAATGAAAAGAACGAAGAAAGAAAAACACTTCTAACAAAACCAAAAAATAAAGAAAAACAAACTCCCCCATAGGCAAACCAACAGCTTAAACTTTTAATGCATTTTTCGCCGTGGTGAAACGCTTTTTAAATCCTCTTCTTTACTTATTTTCGGTTAAAACTTTAACTCAGAAATTATACAAATCAACGGGTAGAGGAGGATGGCACGCGCACACACACCCGCGCCTCATATACACGCACAGAGGAAGTTGTCAGCTCAGGCAAACAAAAGATGCTGCTGGTACAAAACACCCAAAGTTTTATTTCACATGCCAACACACAGACACACACACTCGCACTCTCTCACACACATACTTCCCTACATAAGTACACAAAAAACAACTTTGCAAGGAAATGAAAACAACTTTTGGCATAAATACTCCCCGAGAGGAATTTTATCCATGGAGTTGGGCGTTGAATATATGACTGAGTGTCCCTTTTTAAAAGTACTTTTATTGTGTCTCACAAGTGTGGGTGGGGGTACTTCTTTCTATGTGTGTGTGTTTTGTGACAGCTTATCGATGTCAGTATGTGAATGTGTATTGTAAAGAACATTTATGCCGGAATGTTTGCCTGTGACAGTAGTACAAGCGGCATTTACTTTAACACACACCGATTCAGTTCACTTGCTGTTTCTGTACAAAAAATAAGAGGAACGACGCATCGTTTGCATTATGTTGTTGTTTTTGTTGTTTACTCCCTGAAAATCGCAAAACAACTTTTCTACTTAAAAATGTTGTGAAGTGTGAATATGAGTGCTGTTGCCACTGCTGCTACATTCTGTTTTTTGATGCATCAACAACATTTTGTTT